CACTTTTAAACAAGTACGCATGTATTTACATAGTGACAAATGCGCTATCAGCACAGCGCTATATACTTTATCCATGCCCTATTATATGAGGACATGTCCTTGTGTATAACTAAAACAAAGTAATATCTCACTTCTCAGAGGATTCACAGATGAGTTTCTCACTTGGCCCCTTGGACACATTATTTTGGGAAGTTATGTTACAGCTCGTTATGCTACAGTGACTTTGTCTTGACACTGTTAACTACATTGTGACTGGACAGCATATAGCACGAACGACTTTAATAGATAAGACAGGTTTTAATGGTGCAACCAGATTTATTTAAATCTGTACTTTAAACGTAGCCAGTAAACTAACTAAGAACTTGTGACGCCTTTGCACACAAACTTAGTAACAGGGTCACAAAAGCTTGTCCAACCCAAGGTGTGTACTTTGTTAATTGTACAAATACAGTTATTGCATACAGATGATCAAACTGACAGCTCCAGCCATGTCAGTGAGCTATTTTGCAATTTCTACTTCAGGGACATGACAAGAGAAACATCAAGAGATTGAGTGAGTCAAATGTGAAAACAAAGGAATTACAGACCTGCTTGTTCCTGAGATATATTGACAGTTGGGAGAGAAGAGATCTTCTCTCTCTCTGCTGGAGGAGGTCCTGTATTCTCCAACTGACCTAGTAACTACACACACACACACACACACACACACACACACTGAAGTGAAATTAACAAGTGACAGGGACATGAAGTTGGAGTGAAGTTGTCTTAAGTTTGGTTTACCTGTGTTATCACGGCGTCTAACCCTCCCTGTCCCCAGGCGTAATCCCCAGGGTTTGAGTGCAGCATCCCCGTCCTGAGAGACACGGACACCACAAATTGATAAGAAATAGCACAGTGACGCTAGCACTAACACTGCAACGCTACTGTAATGTCATCTTACCATGAGAGGGGAGGTGAGCCAGGAACTCCAGAGTTGGCAAAGAGCCCGGCAAGAAACTGTTGTACAATCCTGAGACACAGTGAGAAAATACACAACAGTTAATGTCATCACCAAAAAAAGAACGGTTACGATTGTAAGGACATAAATAGCAATAATATAATATAATAATAGTCATTATTATTAGGGGGAGTATGCAAAGCAGAGAAGAGAGCCAGGAGGATAGTAAGGAAGACAGAAGGCATGGAAGCTGAACTGGTCAGTTACTCACCCTTCCACAGCAGGCGAGCGATCTGGCCGACTGCTGCCTCTGGACCTGTATCTCCTCTGGCTGTGCATACGAGTAGGGCGTCCTGGTACCCAGTGATCCCCGGCTCCTAGTAGGCTCCCCATAGGTCCCCCTAGGCCTGCTGGGACTGAACCCCCGATTGGTCCCACTCCCAACCCCCCCAGGTCACTGAGACCTCCCAAGCGCCCTCCAGGGAGCCGAGGTTCTGAGTCAGGTGTGTCACCGTCTGTTGTAAATGGCCGCTCCAGTAACAACAAGTGCCATAGCTACAGGGATGATGGGATTGGACAGGTAAGGAAGGCAGAAAGTGGGATTAAGGACAAGAAAGCGGGCAGCACAATGGGAAAAGAGAGGAAGCCAACATGCAATAGGAAAATGAAGGACAGGGGCCAAGAGAAAATGAGTAGAGAAGAAGGCAGGGAAAGAAGAAGACAAAGTTAATCAAAACACATAAAATGATTGTAATCAATCCTCATTGTCCCATTCCCACCCTATTCTCCCCAAAATCCCTCAGATCAGCTTGTACCTCTGCAAACTGTGTGGCTGTGTCATCTATCCCGTTAGCGACACCCTCTAGGAGACTGAGGGAAACCGCGCACAAGGGGACAAAAGACACATTATCAGCAACATCCACTTAATCCTATGCACAGACAAAACTGCACTGTAAGCCTACAAACTTCAACAGTGCCACATGTTGGTTCTTGTTAACAAGTATTAAGGTTTAACAGCCCATGTAGCCGCTTTCGTTCCAGGTTAACACTAAATGGCCTCAACATCTCATTTGTCTAGAGACATGAGGTTGATACCTAGAAAAATATATAAACGTCCCTTACCTGGAGTCTTCCGTTACTTCCTCTATGAAACCTGAATCACATCTTGGACAGATGTACTCCTGGAAAGAGCCACAACAAAGAGTCACACAGGTTAGGAAAACTGCCCATTATAATCTCCTAGAACCCAAGGTAACTTATTTAAATCTTGTTTTGTCCAACCAACAGCCCATAACTCAAACATACTCTCACACTGGAGAAGCTGAAAGGAATTTCTTTGGCATTTCTAATTAAAAATATACTGTTATTAATAACTCATTATTAAAGTAGTGGCAGTTGATTCATTTTCGACTATAGATTGATAGACTCATTGTTTAAGCTCTACTTTAGTGAAAATCCTTTTGTGGTGATATGATCTAATTGTATTATGATTTTCTTAACCAAATTAACAATAGCAAGAAAATTGCAACTAAAAGAAAACCAAAATGCATGGGTGAGGTTTTTATTTTACACATGTGAAAAGTTTTGTCTAAAGTAATGCATAATAAATGAACATAGTTCATAGCATTGAACATCAGTTTGATTATTTTAAAGTAACATTCGTAAACTGTATTTGCCATATTGTGATATACTGATATCTGGAAAATATTCTTCTATATTCTATCACCCAGCCAATCATAAAACATTGTAATGACATTATGCCGACATGGTCAACAAACAACACTGTCAATTTGTCTTTACAAGGATAATATCAGTAAGATTTGTATGCCAGCCAGAGTTTTATGAATGTAGCCCAGGAGGTAGAGCTGGTCTGCCAACCACACCTAAACTGTGTAGTATTTTAGAAACCACGGTGACAGAATGTGGAAGACTGCTGCCTGTTTGTACAGCTGGATTGTATGCTTCACACTCACTTTCAGCCAGGTTTTCTCAAGCATGGGAACGGGATTGAAGGTGGGGTCGTTTAATATACAGACTGGGCTGTGAGAGATTAGACCTATGTTTGTTCTATAACACATGTTAAAAGGAGGAAAAAATAGGGGAAAAATATCAACTTTTTATTTTATATATATTTATATTTTATTTTACTTGGAACTCACTGAATGCTTTTGAAAACAGAATACATATGAATACCATGCTCAAACTCACATGACAATTTCAAAACTCTATTAGCTTACAAAAAATTGGGGATCTAAAACCAGAGTCATGGTCAGAATTGGTTAAAAAAAAACTGCCATAAGCAAAAGCATTTTAAACGAGTTGTGTCTCATTTGCTCAAAGAAAGGTTGTCGCATCTGTTGTATAAATGGATACATGACTGACAGATGGTCCTTGGGATACCCTGTAGTAGTGTGGGGTGATAAACTCGGTGTTGCAGTCAGTTGGCTCAGTGAAGACATGCCACAGGATTGAGTGTGCCTGAGACAAGCAGGCCAGTTTAGAGTCAGTGACAGGGCAGGCAGGCAGGCATTACCCTCAACCATCCCATAAAAATAAGGATTCGGCTGACAACAAGACAATCTGGTGGACTGACTTAATGACTGCTAGCCACATCAGTTGTTAGGTATGTTTTGTCCACCTCATTTATATCAATCAAGCTAGACTAACTATAAAACATCTCAGTATTAGGTAGTAACTAACACTTACTTTCAATTCCAGTTAATCTACCAATTATGTTTCATCATTTAATGGATAAATCATTGGGTCAATAATAGGGCTGAACAATTTGAAAAAAAATATCAAATTGCGATTATTTTGTATGATATTGAAATTTTTTATGTTATTATTGTCATTTTCATAAAAAAAAAAAAAAAAAAAAAATCAACTATAGTGTGATTTTGTGAGGGAATTGGTACCAAACAAAGATATTTTCTTAAGTCTAGAATATGATGGCTAGACTGGGACATCTCTGCACGACAATATTTTATTTAAAGTGGTATTTTTACACACTTTTCTGCCTTAACAAATATTGCTCCTCCTGCGATTTGAAAATTGCAGTGGACCATATTACGATTTTGATAAAAAAAGATTTAACTGATCAGCCCTAGTCGATATAATAAAATAGTTAAAATGTCCATCACACCTAAACTACAATTTGACATCTTCAAATGTGCCATTTTTGTCTAATCAATAGACTAAAACCCAAATATATTAAGCTTGTTATCATAAAATACTATGAAAACCAGCAACCTCTCATATTTAAGATGCTGAAACTAGAACATTTTTGTCAATTCTGCTTGTGTATGAAATACACAATTAATTTATCCAAATTGTTAGCGATATAATGAATCAACAAATCAATTAATGAACTAAAATCATTTAGGCTGTAGTCAGTTTAACATAAGTCAACAGCACTAAAAACAACAGCTTCCAAAATGACTAATAAGTTGAACTAACACCTCCCTAAAACAGTTTTAACAAAACCAGTATAACCTTCATGAACATAGGATTTATTACTGAGCTGCTGTATTCGCATGGATTAGGTTTAGCTAGGTGCACCTAATAAACTGGTAACTGAGTGTAATTAGGAAACCCTCCCAACTGTCCAGGATGTAAAAAACTATATGCTTAACATATCTTAAAGTTAAAGTCCGGAAATGTGTGCGTCATGTCAGCGTTGATACATTGAGTTTATTACTCTCACCTTTTACTTTAAAACTGAAACTAAACGAGATGTATATTTTCCCCGAAAATTCCCCCTACTCGTCCTGCCAAGAGACTGAAACAAAAACGAAGATAACCTAATATCAAACAACGACTGTTAATAATGTCTACTAAAAGAACTGACAAGGTAATAACATACACCTTCTTCTCTCAGCTGTTTGTGTTGTTTAGTGCAAAACACAATATCCCAAGCTGTCAAAGCAAGGCGTCAAGCACAGTGCTTAAACAACACTGCCTTAATAAACATGCAAGCCGAACAAAACCTGTCGATATTCGCTTTTGATGTTTGATTTTTGACAAAGACCTTTGCGATTGTCATGAGTTTATTAAGTGAGTTAACAACAACAAACGCCGCTAACTGCTAACTGGCTAGCTAGTGTTTAGCTGTAGCAAGCAAGCGAAACAAACGGTATTTCGGAGAAAGGTTGACTTGTCAACCGCACATATTATACACGAGAGCGTGATATATAAAGAAAGAAATACATCTGCCTTACCGGGAGTTTGGGGTTCACTTCTCCCTTACAACAGTGACAGAAAAACCGATGCGGTGAAACAGCCGCAGCCTCCGCCATCTTCCCCAGACCAGCACAAACACTGACGTCGGTCCTCCACAAACTGAAGACAGCTGTCCGCCTCCAGCCCGGCATGCACCGCGGTACCGCTGGGCAAATCAAGCGAGTACTCCCAAAGAACGGAAGTGTTCATGTGTTGACATGCGAAGAGCCGCATGTGTTTAGCCGACAGTCTGTGGGAAGCAAGGAACAAGGACTGCGTCTGTCCAGGAACTTGACTATCGGAAAGGTTTGCGAAAATAGTGAAGTAGCAGATGTTTCGGTTGACATAATGTACAGGTGTAAACGTTTGAAAGCTAGCTATGATGCAAAGTGTTTGCACCTAACGTTACAGCTCATCGTTCACTTATAGCCGTGCGACATTGAAAATAAGCTTACTGGCTTCTTATTCCTTCAAACTTGTCAAGATATTTATTTGTGAACTGCTCTGTGTGTGTGTGTGTGTGTGTGTGTGTGTGTGTGTGTGCGTGCGAATCAAGAATCAGACACAGATTAGTATACAGAACACACATATATAAACCAAAACAATAACAACGGATGGAGTCAATAACCAACAAGTATGTGTGCAGGTGTTATGTATGTAGGTTCTTTATCAAGATCTTTATTTGCCATGTGCACAACAATTACAGTGAAGCAATCGTTGGCAATAAGATTCTTGCTCAGTGCTTATACACACTGTATAAAAATCAAGGAAAAAATAGAATTTAAAACATAAAATAGTGCAGAAGTTAGAAGTAGAAGTAATATTTAAAATATAATACTGCTGTAGACTGGTGTACAGTAGTGATAAAATAAACTGTAATGTAGACAGTTTGTGCAGTATTGTAGTAAATGTTGAGAATGTGAGAACCGGGTAAGAACAGGATGTAACAAGTAATGCACATAAATATATATACTACTGTGGTGGTTTAACAGCTTGTTAAAGTAAAAAAGGTAGTAAAATAAATGTATGTATACTGTGATTTGTGCAGGTATAAACAGGTAGTGTATATATTATATACAGAGATTAAAACAATTTAATAACATTAAGTAAAAGTGATGGTAAAGTGTACCAATGCAACATCTAACCAGGCAATGGGCAGTTCAGTTCTGTACCAGTTCAGCTCAAATTTCTTAGCCCAAACAAGTCTCTTAACCGTCACTGATTCCCTACAGACACACTCCAGTGATTTAGGAATCAAAGCAGCAGAGGCCAAGATATTTTGATTTTTGGTCAGTCAGTTATGTATGGGCCAAACTCCAAAAATGCTGTATATTACTGGTACTGAATAACTATTTTGGTAATTAATTCATAAAGTCATATTTCAAGCAAACATGCAAAACATGATCTGGTTCAATGTGTTCTTAAATGGGAGGATTTGGGGCTTTTCTGTGTTACATCATTGTAAACTGAATATCTTTGAGTTTTGGACAGTCAGTGGGACAAAACAGACTACATCACCTACTTTGGACTCATTACTTATTAAGTCTGAACTGAGCATAGCACTGGTGTAAATAACAACATTATTATCATTTTATTGATTAAATGAATAATGGTTGAGTTCTATTGAGCTGCTTCAGTTTCGGGATCCTGATATGTGCATGCTGGCTAACTGTCACACTGTCATAGCTTAATGGTACAGTTGAATAAAACAAAGCCATCGTTATTATTTTTAGTAACACCTGTGTTGTGAAAAAGATCCTTTGATCCAAAAGATAGTCCCTTATTTGGTGGTAGCCTCTATGAAAAGAAAACTTGCAATGCATGCAATAGCAAGATAATGCTCAGGAAAGCATGAAGTGACTGCTCTTTCACCATTTGTTTTTACAACATCCAAGATGCAAATTTATCATTTCTGTTTGTATATTTTTGATATAGGAACCCATAGCAACCAGTGTTTTGCACATAGCAACAGTAGTCCTCCTCCGGCATAATACATTTCACACATTATGTAAAAGGAAGTTATTCAAAGTAAAACCTTCCATGATAAGTGTCTTTGTAAATCTTTGTAGTCAGTGGCCCTTTACTTGGCAAGCTCTCAGGTCCTAATTATGCTTCTAATTAGTGCTTTATTGGAACCAGTAAAGCAAAGTTGGCATTGCAGTATATATTGTATATTAATAGCACATTGACAGAGTTATATTAATTGTTGTGTTGATACAGGTGCTTAATGTAGGTTGTTGGGGAAACTTGTACTTCATCTGCGTGTTCCTGTGTGTTTGTCTGTGCAGATGACTGCCCAGGAGGTACGTCTGTGTGGTCTCCTGCTGCGGGAGCACTTTGGAGAAGTGGTGGAGAAAGTGGGAACACACCTGCTCAGAAGTGGAGCACAGAATTTAAGGACCATCATTCATGAGACTGGCATCTCACTGGACCTGGTACCACTCCTACACTTATCTAGGCTGTTACTGTTGCTACTTCACACCATGGAAATATTATACATTCTATATTTAGTATTATATACATGGCTTCTCAGCATTTTCAAACAGTATTTAGCTGACCAGCCTTTGTGGTTACATTACCATTAATATGGAGTGCGTATACATACATACACTACCATTATTATAGCATAACTATTATAATATGTACTTATTCCACAGTTTTTTTCATCGTTCATTCAAATGCAAACCTCATCCCCTTACATGATGGGTAGGTTTTTGCCCCAGAAACCTGATTACATGGCCATGTTAAGCCTTAGCAGTGAAACCTGTTTAAACATGTTAGAAAGATATGTTGTGTCATCATGAGTGAAACAGTGCTGGGCAGAATAGAAACATAACAGTCAGCTTTTGCATGTTTTTTTATACAATAGTAGCAAAAAGATAGTGATCACATTCTTTTATTACAAGAAAATCTGATTACTGACAACACTGCTGTTTACTGGGCTAAGTAGCACAATAGATGCTAATATGTTACATACAACATATGAATACATTTTCTGTCTTAATTTCATAAGTTACTGACTGTTTTTTTGTGTGCATGTAAAGGGAGTCATGATGGTAAAGCACCTCTTTACTCCCTTTTTCTGTCTCACTGTAGGTAAAGAAGTCCCTGTGTGTGCTCGTGCAGCATGGGGTCTGTGTGTTCAGCTCCGGCCGCAAAGGAACTGGGAGCCCCACGGAGTATCAGACTAACTGTGATCGGATTCTGAGAATCCTGCGATACCCGCGCTACATCTACACCGCCAAAACCCTGTATGGTGACACTGGAGAGCTGATCATAGAGGAGTTACTTCAGAGGGGTGACATGACCATGAGCAGCACGGTTAAGACAGTTGCCGACCGCCTCACACAGAACATGGAGGGTCAGTATCTCAGTGTCTGTATCAATGAAAGACTGTGGGAGACACTGGCTGCTAGACAGAAGATCCAGATCGCCTTATCAGGCAGGCAGGTTAAAATATAATCTACAACAGCAATTTTCTCTTTGTCCGTCCTGTTGTTCTAGAGGGTCACAGCATGGATTACAGTGAAGTGTCTAATGCCTTCTCGAAACTAGTGGAGACCCATTTTCTTCAGCGATGCCCTCCAATGGCGGGAGCAGGAACAATAGCCAGTGCTACTCCAGCTACCCCCGCAACCCCTGGTACTCCTGCTGCCTCTGTTAGCACCACCCTGCCCACACCAGAGAGCTTCCCTGACTGTTACAAGGTACCTCACGTGACACTCATAGGGCGAGGCAAACGCCAACTCTCCAGTGAGGATGGAGACGACCAAAGGAATGCAAAGAAGGCAAAATTAGATTCAGAGGTCAGTGTTTGGAACATGCCAGTTCCACGTTTAACACATTAAACACATTTGCTGTACTTTTAAAACTACAATTACCTCTCAATGTCCCTGTCCCTTGCATATCATATAATATAATATCTATCTTTTATGCTCAGACACATGGTGATGAGGGGATTTACTGGCAGGTGAATTTTGAGAGGTTCCATCTCCACTTCAGAGACCAGGCCATCATCAGTGCCGTAGCCAACAAACTGGACCAGGTCAGGTTTGCACAAGGATACTTGAACTATATTATTTAAAGGTACAATGTGTAAGATATGGCCAATTTTATTTTAAAACATTCAAATAATTAAATAAAATTATCAACAGACTGTGCCTTATGTATTGCAGAGATCTTTACTGAAGTTAGCATGCTAGCCCTAGCCCGTCCTGTCTCGTAATACTACATTGTAGCTCAAGTGGCGATAGTCTGGTATAGTTCAGGCTTCCCCCCCGTAGATTCAGCTGAGAGATGTGAGCGAGCAGCAAGTTTGCTGTGTTACCGAAGCTTTTTTAGTCTGAAAAATAAACTAAATAAACTCTTAAAATGTCAAGAAAGGACATATTACACCTGTTTTCCTTATCAAACAGAAAAATACAACCGTACACATTCTGAATTCTAGTTTCTCTCTTTCATCAAACTAATTGCCTTGTTAACTCATTGTACAACACACTTCATTCAGACTCAACAGAAACAAAATAAAACTTGCCAAAACCATTGTGGTTTGTCTTAAGATTAATAGGACCGCTGAGCTTACTGGCTAATTGCAGTAAGAAGTATTGAAGTATGATGACAGGTGTAGAGTAACCTCAGTTCTTACACATTGTACCTTTTTAAGGAATAGTCATTTAGGAATTGTGCTTATTTGCATTCTTTCAGAGAGTTCGATGAGACGATTGATTCCGCTCTTATGTCTGTCTGTCATATGAAGCAGCCAGCAGCTGGTTGGCTTAGCTAGCATAAAGACTGGAAATAGGCTCTGGTACGTACATTTTGTTAGTTTTGGACAGTGCCAAGCTAGTTTCCCTCTGTTTCCAGCCTTTATGCTAGGCTAAGCTAACCAGCTTCTGGCTGTAGCTTCATCTTTGCCGTACAGATATGAAAGTAGTATCGATTCTTTTATCTGTCCTGTTTTCTGGACTAGGACCAAATATTATTATGGATGTTTATGATTATAACAATTATCTTTCTAAATAATTTCATCTTAATAACACAGACCAGCAGTGAGATAGTAAGGACTATGCTGAGGATGAGTGAGGTGACAACTTCGCCCACAGCCAACTGCACAAAGCCCCTCTCAGCCAATGAGATCTTCAGGTCCCTCCCAAGTAGTTACAACATCCCCAGACCCATCTTAGACCAGTACCTCACGCTACTGGTCGATGACCCGGTATGACATCTGCAAGTCACATGACATTTTCCAATCTTAATTTTTAATCCACAAGAATCATTTACATCTACTTGTCCTTTTCTTTTCCTAGATGGAGTTTGTGGGGAAGGCCGGTGAAAGTGGAGGAGGGATGTACGTTGTCAGTATCCTTTTTAATTTAGAGGGTCCTTGTCAAGAACCAAAACACTGCTTTGTGCCATTTAATTTATTAAACACAAGGCACGGATGCTTTTCTTAACTCAACTGTCAGATCTGCATAGAGCGCTGGCGAATCTGGCTCGGGCGACGCTTGAGTCTGTAGTACAGGAGAGGTGAGTGAGGATGTGTTTTTAATTGCGTATACATGCGATTCTCCTATCATCAGCAACTCATTAATTTTCCCTTTTAATCTGTCACCAGATTTGGATCCAGATCAGCTCGCATCTTCCGTCTGTTGCTAAGGAAACGTCATCTGGAACAGAAGCAGGTGGAGGATTTTGCCATGATTCCAGCCAAAGAGGCTAAAGACATGCTCTACACGCTGCTTTCACAGAACCTGGTCCAGCTACAGGTATATGCTTGATGGCTTCCACAATTCCTCTGTTTGTATTTATGTTCTTACTAAACTATTACCCAACTCATAAGGTTTCAACTCTAATCTGATTTAGCAGGTCAATATGAGAAAGGATGACGAAAATGTGAATTGTATCCGAAGTATACTGTATGTTTTGGATTAATTACTGCCTTTTCTCTTCATTCCCACAAACAGAAAATGGAAGCGCTTCCAAAACCATAACTCTGACAAAAATAAGAGGACAAGCTGGTCACTGTGATGTATTTAAATATACAAAGCAAGTTTCAAATCTCCTCAGGCCTTAGTGTATTAACATGAGTGACTGCCTGGAACATTGGAGTAATCCAAAAACTTCAGATCCAAAAACCTACTTTGAAAATTATTTGGCTCACTTTTTGAAGATGCACTAAGTGAATAAGATATTTTTAAAACTAGACTTCCAAAGCACCGTTGCCTAATCTTTTATTCTCTGTCTGTCTCTGTGGACACTGACGTAGGAGGAATTTAATAAATGTGACCATTTGGCAATTTCATATTGACATATTGACAGTTTGAATGGGCACACTTAGATGATTTGAGTCATCAACTTTAAGGAAGCAGGCTAAGTTTTTATTCTTTAATCTTCCTACTCATTCTCTCTGAACAGCCATATCTTTTTTTATTCTTCAGGAAATCCCAAAGACTCCTGACTATGCTCCCTCTCGCACCTTCTATCTTTACACCGTCAACCAACTCCCTACTGCACGAATGCTACTTCAAAACTGCTACAAGGTAAAAACAATGGACATACTGTATCAGAGCTGTGGATAGAAAAAGACTACTAGTGGCATGCTTTTTGTCTTTCATGCTGGTTTTGTCTATGGACATTTTTCTTTGTGCAGACAGTAGCCAACCTCATAGAGCGACGCCTGTTCGAGAGCAAAGAAAGCAAGTGAGTTCAATAACTGTATATCCCCATGTCGTCTATGTCTCTCTGCCCTTGCAAGCAAGATAATTTCACACGTTCAAATTTAAAAGTTGTCACAGATCAATTGTGGATTGGTTTTCTGCTTGACCGACAGGCGTCTGCTGGAGAAATCCCAGCGAATCGAGGCCATTCTGGCATCTCTGCAGGCCAGCGGGGCTGAGCCTGAACAGCTGACTGAGGTTGAGGAGATGATCACTGCTCCTGAAAAGCAACAACTGGAAGCCTTACGACTTCACATCAATAAGTAGGAGCACAATTCCCTTTTGTACAGGTGGCATTATTGAATCACCTCTTTGGTCTGTTGGTGTTAATACTCTCACTATTGTTCTTTCCCCCCTTCAGGTTAGATTCAGCAGAGAACCAGGTAGATGAAACCATATTTCTACTAGAATCGTACATCACCTCCACGGCCACAAGTTGAGACTCGAGATGTACAAGCATAGTACCTGTGCCATTATTGCCTTTTTGTGTATGAATGCTGTCAAATATGGCTGTTTTATAGTTTATATGGCTGGATTGTTTCAGTTTGGAGTGATATAAAATCTGGATAGATTATTTTGCTTGTTTTTATTGCATACATCAGCAAATGAATAAACTGAGCACAAGAATATTTTGTTTTAACAGTTTTAATTTCATTTAAGAACAAACACAAATCTGTAAGACAAACATAAGAAAGAGTGATCATTTCAAATGTGAAACCGTGCAGATGTCTGTATATTAAATAGAAGAATTGTGGTTTAATACAGTTTGATTTTTCCTTAAAATTAGAAAAAGATTATTTACATAAGTGCTCCCAACCCTGAAAATAGTGGGTAGTGCATTTCTGTTGGACCCTTGTGATGCTCTCTTTGGTCTTAGAGGTCCCTGGTGCATCTGTGTTTTGAGTCCAATCCCAGGTCTGTCTCTGTGCCTGGCAAGAGGTGGGCTCAAGCGGTAGTTATCATGGCAGCCGAAGTTGGGCTCAGTCCTCATGGTTCTCATCCTCACCTCTCTGTTTGCGTGCGAAGAATCCCAGCTGACGAGAATTGAGATAGAGATTGATTTTGTGTTCACAACACATTCATTTTCCTGTAGAAATCTGAAGGTAAATGTAACATGAAAATACCTTCCATAGTATGAAAATGATGAGGGCCAGTAACAGCAAACCTCCAATGATGCTACCAATCAGAATCCACAACGAGATGGGAATTGCTCGGCCCTTTAGCACCTCCAGTACTGTCTACAGAAAAATAGATGAAGGGATTAGTGAAAGTAAATTTCCATTCTGCCACTCAACATCCTGCTCAACATACTCGAGATAGTCTTTTTACCTCCCTCCAAACTATTCCTGTGCCCAGAGTAATGAGGTTAGTCTCCTGAGCTGCGAGGCGATAGGCACCTATTACCCTCACTGACTTGTATTTGGCCTACAAAAAGAGACAGAGGTGATGAGCAATGTTTGTTTCATAGAACAGAAACGTCGAGCTGAAATGACTCCTTTGGGCTGTTGTGTAACTCACGTTTCTGAAAAAATCATCATGAACTCTGCGGCTGACACGAATGACAGCGGCCTGCCCTCTTAGAAGCTGCTGGACTTCACACACGACCTCAGTGCACCATGATCTGCTGCAGTTCTAAACATGCATATAAGCACACAACCACACAAACAGCATGTTAATCTGTATACTGATGCTGCACAGTGTTCAGTTGCTGCTGTGGCACCAGGGGCCTCACCAGTATGTCATTCTGCATCATGTCTTCAGGATGAAGGGCGCGTACGTCTCTCTGTCTGGCCTTCAGCTGGGGAAGATTACTCTGCATGCTGCAGTTCACCCCTGTGGCCTGCGGGGCAATTTAAATATGTCAGATATGATCTAAAATGGAGATACAAACACTCACGCAACAGCGCAACTCACGTTGTATGAAAAGACATCACTGACGGTCATAAAGACTCTGTCTCCCGCAGCCACAGAGGGCAGATGCAGCCTGAGCTCCAGATTACTTACAGAGTAACAGCCAAGGTTCTGTACCTACAAACACAAACAGGAAAAAAAACGCTCTAAATTTTCCTCGTCTTTATTTTTTTTTAGAGTGATGATGACTCAGTTAGGTTATTTACTGGGAGCTTTGCAATAATAATAAGTAATGGGTTGCATTGAAGTTTGTAAATGAGCATGTGAGCCATAGCTTTACCCTGAGGTGTGTGTAGAACTCTGGTCCAATTGCCTCTGATACTGTCCGAGTGGGATGGACCTCATATCGGTTCAAATTAGAGTCACTGCACAGAAAAACAGGAAATAAATACACAAATACAAAATTGTTTAAATATGTGATTGTTAAATAAAATATACAGTATGCTGCACACACACATACCTGCTAACAAACAAGTCTGGTTCATACTGAACAAAACTCTGCAGCTGAACACTGTTGTCCCCCAAAGTGTCCTCTCTCTCCACACTGTCACTGTAAAAGAACCAGAAGGTCACATAAACTCAGATGCTTTTCATAGAAGCCCTGGGACCCTTTGAATCTTTTGTTGTGGAAACAAAACCCCTTTTGGTAGTTTTCAGGATTTGTTTTTATTTTTTACAAATGTATTTTCAGGATAAAACCCCTTGAGATGTACAGTCTTGTTTTCGATATTTGGGAACTGTGTGCATATAGTGTGTAGAACATGTTGCTTTAGTAGCTACCTGGCAGCATTAAGCTTCATCTGCACTCGACTGTGCAGAGATGTGCAGCTGAACTCAAATTCCAACATGAAGTTAACCTGCAAACAAAAGAGAGAACAGCCTGCTGAAGTGACACATTTCACCTGGAGGAAGTGAAGTACGAGTGGGCTGAGTCGAGAGAGTGACGGTGCTATTTCCTTAACACGGACTTACTTTTGACTGGGAGCGAAATACTGGATAGCTGACATTACACAAGTGGCTGTTGGCACCAAGTGCTGTGCACTCAATCTTAAAGTGGGCATCCTCCTACATCAAAAGAAAATAAAATGATAAACAGAAATCAGTTTGTCTACGTAGATCTGTGTAAATGTGTACGGTGTAGCAGTATATGTGTGTGGTTTACCCTAATGCTGAGGCTGGAGAAGTGCAGGTTGCGTGAATAGTGCAGCGTCAGGCTGGTGTTGTAGGCATTTTCCAGTCTGTTCTGAAGCTGCACCTCCACTGCCAGACGCCTACGAGGGCTGCGAATCACATAAGGCTTCTGTCTGTGGAGAGAACACAATGGAAACTCACTGAAACCTAACAACTGAGTTGATAGTATTTTCAAACTGACGTGGAAAGAAAAGAGAAGAAGAATAGTTCAAATCTGTACCTTGTCCCAGAGATGTCCGTATGAGCCTGCAGCACCAGGTCTGTTGTACACACATCATCCTCACCACAGTCTTTAAAGAACTGGATCTGAAGAGGTACATGTGGAGAGGACAGCGTGTTTGATAGAGAAAAGAGGGAAGGAATGTGACGCAGCAAGAAGGCTATTAATGAGAACAGTCAATATTGTGCCACTCACAGACTTCTTGACAGCTGTTGGCCAGCCTTCATCCAACACTGGGCCACTCTCTGTATTGTTGATCTTAAACCGCAGTGAGAAGCTAATTGGACGGATGTAATCTGCTGTGTCCTACAAAAAAGACAGAAACAAATGTCAGCGATTAAATAAAGGCACTAACTTTGTCCTGCAGCACATGTATGAATGGTGAGTGAGTACCAACACTCACATAGACATGGAAGGGCAGTTTGTAGCAGAGAGTTTGTCCTGTGTGAACTTGGACTGCCAGCTGGGTCTGTCGGTGGGAGCTGTCGTCAAACAGCGCCCGTGCAGACAACTTCCTGTCATCCAACATGGCCGACACCCACAGATCTGAGGAGAGAGCAGGCAGTTGGGACAGATGGTGAATGTTGGAAAATTACTATTCTAATTATTTGTGTGCCTGGCCATATTCACAATACTTGCAGTCCTTAATTATACGCATTAGAGACGATAAGTAAAAATAAAGTGTTATACCAAAGCTGTTGCTGTGTGACCCAGGGGAGCGAGACACAGTTGTGAAACAGGCAGTGGCATTGAGACAGGCTGATTCTCTGCCTCCCCTCTGGCACGTCTTCTGAATGACGTTGATGGAGTGTGGCTGGAAGGACAGTCTCACATTGATCTGGACAATGCTTCGAGAGCTGGGCACAGGAAGGACAGCGGATAATAAAACAGGATTTTTAGCCACGTGACACCATAAAAATGTAAAAGCCAGTGATTTGAATCTATAAAAGAAATTAAGTAATGTTGGTTTTTTGGGGGGATGATTTATTTTCTTTAATGTGAAAACTAGCAGACTTGAGGCGACACATTTAATGTGTTGTCTAGCTTCATTATCTCTCAGTGCTTGCAGCTATAAAGTCTGTTCTGGCAAGGCCCTTCCAACTCTTCCACTACCCACCTGAGCAGCACAGCGTTGCCCTGTGCTCCCACTGCCAAGTCTATTAGCTCATCTCCATCCAAATCCAACCGAGCACTCACACTGCGGCCAAAATACTTCAGGGAGGGGGAAATCGATGACCCTGAAATACGCTGAGAGGAGGAGAGAGGCAGAAACACAAGCAGATTTCAGTTTGACTAAATCCTGAAATACACCATTGAAAATGTAATTATAGATCAATGACGAGTACCTGCTTGAAACTGTGGATGATATAAATGCCGTCTCCGTGGTAGACATAGATGGCCCCCCTGTGTTCATCCTCCAGCGGGGCTCCCACTAGCAGGTCAGTGAAGCCGTCGTGGTTGAGGTCTGGAGCGGCTGCCAGTGCATAACCAAACCTGGCATCCTGGGACTTTTCCTCTGACTTCAGAGTACCATTAGATACAAACACCTCCTCCTGGGAGAAACAAAAGAGGAGGAAAGGAAGATGAAGAGTTGGAGGGAATACAAATAGATATTACTGTCAGTCTTTTGAGAAAACAGTTATAGAAACCTAATAAGAATTTGATAAATGCTGTGTATTCTCATAAGATTTCACAATAATCCATTAGGGGAAGAACGGCCATTGCCATGGCTGCCATACCCCACTGAGGGTGTAGATGTAGACTCTACCAGCCTCCTTGTTTCCTGAGCCGAGGTACATTGGAGCTGCCACCAGAAGGACATCAGTGATGCCATCCTGGTCGATATCCAGGCCACACAGCTCGCTGCCATAGTAAGATCCAATCTACAGGCAGAAACATGCTCTTTCAGTTTACTCCCAGTAGGTGGAGCCCTTGCTTTAATCTCTGACAAATGAGATAACTGCTGTTTTCTGCTCCAATAAATAAACAAATAAAAAAGTGACTGAAGGGAGAGGAGAAACTAATGAAGAGAGCTTTACCTGTTCCCCATTGAGGGCCTGTACAATGTTGACATCACCCTCATTACTGAGTTCAAATAGGATGACTTTGCCTTTGTGTTTGAATCGAGGAGCCCCAGCTACATACAGCCTCTTCCAGTCACCAACCACCACAGATGACACTGTGTAACCTGGAAACGCATAAAAATAATCATCAAACACTCTAGCCTTCAATAAAGAGAGTCATACCGGGTTTTCCTTTCACCACTGGATGTTGACCAATTAGATCATGAAGATCAACTTGCAGAGA